GGGTAAATGGGCCAGTTCCCCAGCTGGCAGAAGTGGTTGCATCTTACTTCACGGCTTCCATCAGTTGGGGCTTTGGCACCAAGAATCGCTAGTCAAAATTATTCTAAGAATGATTTCAACTAATGAGGATAAAATATACAATTATAAATAGAGGTTGCAAAGATTTCTTTCTAAACTGGCTTTTTTATTGATAATAGAAAAAGAACATCTTCTAAAAAATTCCTTAGTATATTTTCCAGATCTTAAATTTCAAGAAAAATAAAAGAACAAATAACTTTCCTAAATAGATTTTGATTTTGTATTTTTCAGACTTACTCCTTTTTTCTCCATAAGAAAAAAAATTAGATAAAAAGAAAAAATGTTTATGTAATTTTACTACAAGAGAAAGTTCTTTTCAAAAATTTGAAAATAGAAATATATTTGTAAATACTGTGATTCTTTTTTCTTTTCCAACAAGTTCTATATTTCCAAAGTTTAAGTACTAATGAGGTTCTTCTACACTGACAAATATTTCAATAAAAATGGATACGTCTTCCTGAACAGATCTACACTCCCTGTGTATCAGAATTGGATTTTCAGATCCAAAAATAAACTATAACTCTCTATAGTCCTGTAAGATCTCCTGAACCAACACTACTTTGACAGAAGAGTGAAAAGCTAGTTCTGACAGTAATATTTAAAAAAAAATATTCTCAATGAATTTCAGATCAGTTAAACCTATGTATAATGAATGAAGTCAACAGGAATATAAAAAATAAAAGGAATGGTAATCAACAGAGGTGAGTGGGGACAGAGAGTGAAGGGGAGGAGCTGCACTGGGGTCAGTGAGGGCAGGATATGAAGGGTACATGACTGCACAGGGGTCACTGAAGGCAGAGTCTGAAAGGCACGTGGTTGTAGAGGGGTCACTGAGGGCAGAGGTTGAAGGGTAAGAGGATGCCCAGGGTTTAAAATGGCAGAGAGCTATAAGGACACCTCACTCTCTTTCCCTTGCCCAATGACTATCCAGTGTCATCATGAAAGACTGTGAATTGCCACTATGAATTGCAATATATAGTCTTCGGCCTGGGTGATAGTGAGTATTGCTCTACTGCGTGTCGGCCAGGGGGTGACCTGAGATGTTGGAGACCCAAGCTCAAGTTCCTTCTCTATTGACTGTTTAATTATTTATATAAAGTTTAACATCTTCAAGAGGAGAGACTGAGAAGAACTCAACCCAGACTATCCCATAGTCCAATGTCAGGGATGTTTTCCTGTAATGGGGGAGACCAACATTCAATTTCTTTATCCTCATCAGATGGCAGCTGCGGGGAATGAATCCAGGTTTCTTACATCTTTGGTAAATGCCCTGACCACTGGTTAAGGCTTATGTGGGAGTACCCTACCTCTACCGTCATGGAGTTCACCTTCTGTGGCTTTGGGAATCTTTACTTGGCTTTTTGCAAACTGCCTGAAAATCTAAACAATTTTTCTCAGGATGATACAGAATGAAACACTTAGCCTTGACATTACCAATGTATTGGCTCATTTCAAGGTCAACATTTCTTTGACTTTTTAATCACTAAAAATTGTTTTAAAAAAAAATTGTTATTTTCAATTTGACCTGAAACTAAACATTAGTTTCAATTTTTTTTAAATAGCCATGGAACCAGAAAAAGTCCATTATTCAGCCAACTCTACCCATAATGACTTGGCCAGTCAGAACCTAACAGATTAGATCTCTATTTTATTCTATTCTATTCTAAGCACTAAAAAAGATCCCATCCCTGTTGTTGCTGAAGTGCCTGATAAAATTAGGAAGAAGGATTTTCTAAATGAGATGTTTTACGTTGTTGATACATTAATTCCCCAGGTGCCTGCTGAGTGTCAGTGTTGAAGTTTCAGGTCTCTGATTGTATATTGGCTGTTGACTCCTAAAGCAAACCAACCTTGATCTTTTAATCATATCTCACCAAAAAGTTGAAGTCTTTCAGTAGAATTCATAGACAATATATGTCAAAGATGCGCATGAGGGATCCAAAAATACAATTATCCCATTTTAATCGTTGTGTTTGCTCTCCACCTAGAATTGAAATGGAACCAAGAAGCCCTGACTATTTCTCTCCTGCTCTAACTCCAGCTTAGCTCCTCCATCTAAGGCCTGGTCTACACTACGGGTTTAGGTCGACTTTAGCAGCGTTAAACCGAATTAAGCCTGGACACGTCCACACAACGAAGCCCTTTCTTTCGACTTAAAGGGCCCTTTAAACCGGTTTCTTTACACCACCTCCGACGAGGGGATTAGCGATAAAACCGGCCTTTGCGGGTCGGAATTGGGGTAGTGTGGACGGAATTCGACATTATTGGCCTCAGGGAGCTAT